TATATATATATATATGTATATAATAAGATTCACCGGAATTATAGCAGTTCTCTCCACATTGCGATGTGAGTTCCGTTTCTCCTCTTGGCAAGTACGTGTGATTATTTCGCACGTCAATGCGAAGATGTCCGTCTTCGAAAGTGCGAAGTTCACGAGATTTCTTCATAGTAGAACCGTAAATCGTAGAACCATCCAGAAAATGGCTTACTTGATTCATCTACAAATTATATGCGAATTCACATATAATTTCTAAAGTCATAAATTATAACCAAGCAGTAAATGATTATGTTCTAAAATTTTGAATTGTTACTAAGCAGTCCTGAATTTTTCAAATTAATTTTCTTATATATTTCCTTAAAGCAAAGGGTTTAATTCCAATAATCTGATTTAATATATAACAATTACCTACCTGTTCTACAGGTCCAAAAGTGCACTCTGACCGTAAGACTGGTAACGACCGAACGTAATTCATGCACCGAACATAATGGTCGCCGTAAACGGGATCGTGATCTGGTATGCTGATCGGGGCACAATCTGGATGAACATGACGCGGTGATAAAGTATCTCCATCCGGCTGACAGCAAGAGATTGGTTTTTTCGATGAAACTACAATATATTAAGACATAATTTTTTTAAATACAAAAATATAATAAAAATAAAACAATAGCATTTCCTATGTTCTTAAAGAAATGATAAAAACAATATTGTACAAAAAAAAGCCATAATTCATAATGTGTCAAATTTACGACGAAGATTATAATTATTATATATATATATATATATATATGTATATATAGGATGTCCAGTAAGTTTTGACAAAATGTTCATATGCAGACAAGACGGACTAAACTGATTGTGAGTACGAATCTTCATGCAATTACTTCACGCATTTACAGATTCTTATTGAGAAATCCATTTGTCACTAATTTAAACACAGAAATACATATACCGGATTATGTCATTTCCTGCTAAAAATCAGTAAACTTTATGTCGAATTCCTTGCAATACGTAACATATTTAGAATTGCGGATGTAAACAGATAACATTTTTATCTGGAAATGCAACTATGTACCTTGAAATAGAAATGCTTATATAATGAGATTTAATATTTACTTGGATGAATTTAATGCCAGTTAAAGACTAATTTGTCCATATCTATCTTGATGTGAGCGTGCGTACTTTTTATTTGAACATAACTGGAATTTTTAGCAATGCTCTTAAATTTATGCTGTTTCATAGAAGAATAAAAGAACAGAATTTGAATTTACTTTTTTCAGAATATATACAGAGGCAATGCCATCCAATTATGTAATTGTATGAGCAGCGCGTTAAAATACATTTGAGCAACGAGTAAATCGTCTTATATCTATAACATGCCGAATTTTTCAATCATTGTTTTGTAATTACTGACACCGCTGAGAATAACTTGAATCAGTGCGCGATCAGACGAATAAACGATCATATACGAGCTTGTCACTTACGATTACTCTGATTTTAGCGAGCTCAGACGCGCGCGAGCTCTCAAAATGATACGCTTGGCAGAACAGTACGAGAGGCAACCATAATGATTATAGCATAAATATTCTATTCTAACTATAAATAGGCGAGTGCAGTGTCAAAATATATAGTATATATAATTATATTTGCAAATTTGACACATTAAATTATAATCAGTTTTGAAGAAAAAATTGTATTTTGCTCCAGTTATCGCACTAACTCTTTACGATCCTCTTTTTGTACAAATGTTTTTATATTTATTAAATTACTTATTTGTGTTAACGAGAATTATTTTTACAACTGATATGACAATGTGTCTTTTTATTTTGACATTTATCCAATTGTCAATTGGAAAAAACATTATTTATAATTCTTTCAGTCTTCGGCGAAATTTAGAACTGCAAATATGATGTGACAATTTTTTATGAGTTTATGCTTAAATTTATCCATTCAGCTACTTACCCATCTTACGAACTGGGGTATGAGCCATGTCATGAGCGATGAATTGGCTCCATTCCATCACAGCCAGTGTTCTGCTAGCATCCGATTGATTATTCGCGGTAGATAAAGTGGTGCTTACAAGCCTTGGACTTGGTAGTGGTTTCTTAGAGTGTCCGACACGTCTCGGTTCTTGGATGCCTGCTTCCCAAACCGAACATTAGATCTTTGTCGCGTAAATGATTAAAAGTCGTAAAATCGGAGTAGATCGGTGCTCTATTTTGATACGCGATGTAACACTTTACTCTTGCAAATCATTGAATCACGCAAGCAAAATTATAAAACGATATAATTCTGCATCGATTCGTAAATCAATTCGTTGACGATCAGATGAACGAACGATCATCATATTATACATCAGCTCGTCACTTATGATTACTCCGATTTTAGCGAGCTCAGACGCGTGCGCGCTCTCAAAATGATATGCTTGGCAGTGCAGCACGAGAGGAAACTATAATGATTGTAGCATAAATATTCTGTTCTAACTATAAATAGGCGAGTGCAACCGCGGACTGTGCTAATCTTATGATCCTAACTGTACCTACAACTTGCCTTCTCCGCACGATAAATACAGGGAACGATCAGAGGAGTATAATTGCGTCGCAAACGTATTCGAAATGAGAATCGTAAATAGGAATTATTATCACTAGAGGTCTACATCTACATTAGCGGAGACAATTTCGCTCCTGGCGCCTGATCGGTCCCTGAAGGATCCTAAATCTCGTGCTGCAATGCGAGGCTGCTAGCAATATTGCCTCGACTGTACCGACTTCGACATTCTGATGCGTTATCGAACGATGAGCCGTCTGTTGCGTCTCTGTTAAAGCATAATAAAGACACGATTGTGTAATTGCAATCTCAAAATAACGGCTTGAGAATCTAATCGACGCCCTGTCATCAAAATTACGGCCGCTCGAATCGAAAACGCTCGCAGAAACGTCCTTGTGAACTTATCTATATACATGATCGAGGAAGGCATTCGAACGAATGAACCAAGCTAAGAAGAGGTACCGAATGTAACTTTAAATGTGTCGAAAATGCACTATAGCAGAAACGTCGATAATTTCTAAAAGCAATTCTAATAATTGATTTATTATAAATAAGAAATTTGCGCATTGAGAAAAAATATAGTGTGATAATAACAGCACGAAATATTACAGCAATATTTTAATAGTACGCAATATTACAAAAATTGTAACAATATTGCTGCAATATTGAAATTTTAATATTTTATTGGAAATATTGCAAAAATATTGTGAAATAATGTAATGTTAATATTTCATGGGAAATATTCCAATATATTGTTGCAATATTATAATTCAACACGTAAATATGTGGTTCCGCTATGAGATGGACACGCTTCTCATGAACAAGAAAACATCCAGGAGGTCCATAAGAAGGCGTACGCAAAACGAGTTGGCGACTTTCTTGGAAATTCTCAAGCTTTTTCGAATGTGCTTTCTAGGCCTCCGAATGTTTTTTATCATAACTTTATATCATGAATATTATTTTAAAATGTCATACTAAACAATAGTATTTTAGCAATTAATAAAACTGGATTAATTATTGAAATGTTGCATAATATTGCAAATAGATCTGTAATATTTTTCTAAATATTGTAAAATATTACAGCAATATTCAATTTTTGCGGACGTAGAAAATATCGTTACAATATTGCAGCAATGTTTTATAAAATATTGCAATCTCTCAAAGTAATATTGTTGCAATATTGCTGTAATATTTTGTGCTGTAAGGACGGCACTACACAAATTTTCGAAGTAGAATTATATAGTTAAATAAATTATTCTCAAGTTCACAGTAATCTCATATTTGCAGTATTCTCACACACATTTGCAGTAATTATAAAATAACTTGGTGAATTTTTTTGCTCGTCTATACGCATTTAAATAGGTTATAAAAAAACGATTAAATTTTGAGTAAATAAAGATATTTGTCATAAAATTATTTTATTAATTAATTTAATCAAAAACGGTTTGACTTTATTTAGTTTTCATCAGTTTAACATATTAAATAATACTCCAAGCTCCAAATTGACGTAACATAAATATAAAAAAAAAAAGAAAATCTAATGATAATTCTGTCATACATTTTCACGCAACCTTAATACATTTTATCATTTACCAATTACAAACACTAATCTAGAGATCGTACCAAATTACACCGACAATGCTAACATATTTTAATATTAATTTATATTAATAAATTAAATAATAAAAATTTCGCACGACTTCCTGAAGATTTCTTAATGTTTTCTTCAATCTTCTTCAATACTTTCAATAGTTCAAATTTAAAATTCTTAATAATTTTTTTTCTTTTTAACATATTCTTCGATCAGAGGCGAGAATATTGTTATGTCCGAGATATTAAAAATGTCCGTTGCTTCCTAAAAGGTTCATGAAATTGATACTATTACAATAATCAAATAGCAAATTTTTTTATCAGCAATATATAGAAGAAAGCGTGAAAATATATAAATCTGTAACAGCAATAATTTCTAACATGTAAATAACAATCTGTTATCTACAGATCGACTGCCTTAGTCATGATCTCTAGATCAGCGTTTATAATTAATAAACAATATCAGTTATGTATGTTAAGGTTGGGCTAAAAGATATGATAGAATCATTATTAGGTCTTCCTTTTTTAGAATTATGTAAGTTCGGAGTTTAATTCAAAATTAAATTATATTAATCCGGTTAAAATGAACTGAAGACGGAGTAAAGTCGATACGTTTTTGATTGAATTACGTAACGTAATTTTATAATGAACATCCATGTTCAAAATTCAACAGTTTTTGTACCCTATTTAAATATAAAATAGCTTGTTCAATATATGTATATTAATTCTACATATAAAACTTGTATAGTGATCGACTTCATAGTTGCTATCATTGTGTTTTTCTCTTCGAGTGTGCTGTATGCATGTGAGAGAAAAGAGCATTTCATTTAATCAAATTTAAACTAGAAATACTTCTATTTTTGCTTGGAATTATACGTCACAATGCGTTGCATTTGTTACACATTGAATGTTATAATTAGAATTATTAAATACAAGTGGATCGCGCACTCCCAAGCCGAATCCTCTCATTCGTGTACCTTCGCGTGAGCCACGTATTGTCGCAAATTGAACAGAAAAAAACAACTCGAACTAGTGTTACATAATAAATATGATACATTATTAGGTATATCCGAATTAGTTTACATACACATTCTACTGCTGGATAGAATCTCTCGACCGGGGCACCCTATTGTAGGCAGTATTATTCACTGCTACACTCAGGCATTTTATGCTCTATGTGCCTTATCGCACAACAACTGTAATGCAAATCACAGAATATAATTTGTTAAGCCAATCGACGAACGTTTATCCATTAGCGCCAAGGATCAGTGTAAGCGTGTTTATATTTCTATATGTATGTACGTATGTATACATATTATATGCATTCATGTAGTTATATATACCGCGCGCGCGCGCGC